TTCTGAGATCTTAGGCCAAGCATTAATTTATAGCCTTGGTGCATGATCAGAAAAATAAAGAGCTGAGCTTCGTGGCCTCTGGTCTGTTTTCTTCCTGAGAAGCTGCATCCTCCAGCAAGCTGTCCTTGCCTCCGTCATTTCCTGGTGTTCTCTCTGGCTACAGCTTGGCCCTGCAGGTGGACCATCAGGAACCCGATGGTGGGTTGTCGTCTCTTTTCCGAATTTGTTTTTTCCCCACGTGTGCTCATGAATGGCCAAGAGAGCTTGGCAGAGAAGCCAGTCTTTCCAACAGAGTCTTGTATCAGGTTGAGACCCACCCACCGATTTCTCTTCTAGGTCTGAGAACTTAGGGTAACCATTGGGATGAAAAGTGGAGGCAAGCCTGTCCAACCCTCCCTACTGACTCCAAGCACTGTGTGCTCCACAGAAAGCCATGTGCAGCGGGTGGAATGAAGACTCTCCATCACTGTTCACGTGCCTCTCCTCGACCTTCTCCTTCCTGGTTTGTCTGAAATGCATCCTCTTTAATAAGCTAACCTCACCTGTCGCCATAATAGTATCTATCACTCTTTCTGGAAATTGAGTACAAGTGATATACACCCATTTGGCCATTAGCTTATCATCTTTGAAATTTTTTGTTGCTTCTTGTCTGACTGTTAAGTAAGGGCATCACTTAGAAGTCACTGTGCCACTTGCAGCAGACAGTCAGAGACACGCACATAGATGACTTAGGAGGGATCATCGGACACCTACTCTTCCTACAAGGTTTTGATTCATTGTGTTTGAGCAGGAATAGGAAATAGGGACACAAACATTGAAGTTGATGTTTCTGGCATCAGATCCCAAGGGTCCTTACTTTCCTGTTGAGCCCTGGATTGCTAACACTACCACTGAGATCAGTAACATCAGTCTCCCTGGTAGAAGATCCAGGTGAGAGTCTTCCTAAGGACCAGGCTTCACTGAATGGAAGGACCTGGGTCAGGTAGATCCTAGCGGGTCCACATTACCTTATCAAGGCAGACAATTAGCTTCTGTAAGCTAAATTTCTTAGCTGTGAAATGGATTAGTATTCTCCAAAAGGCTTTAGAAGTTAACAGATGTGGAACTCTTAGCACACAACCTGACATCAGGAATAGTGGTGAGTGCATGAGTGCGTGAGTGTGAGTGTGAGTGTGTGTGTGGACATGGAAGGCCCCACAGCAAGCTTCACAGAGCTACAAGGTGACAGAGGCACCATCAGCTCCAGCATCAAGTAACAATAACATCCAATAACAATTTACTTCTGAATTTAAAAAAAAACAAATTATTTTTCATTTTCTTAATTTCCTTTTATCATTTTTACAAATGTGTACTGTATTTGCATCATACTCCCCGTTTCTTCCTCCCCTCCCATGTCCTAACCCCATGCTCAAATTCATGTATTTACACACACACACACACACACACACACACACGGTATTAAATAAACTCAGCAGATTAAACTTATATATGTATTCAGTATGTGTGCACATGTGTGTGTGTATGCACGTGTGTTCAGGTTTGACCACTTGGCATTAGCTAATCAATTAGGGGGCATATCCCTAGGGAAAACTTATTCTCTCTCTCTCTCATCACTCATAATTTGCCTATAGCTCTTCTAGGGGTAAAGCCCCTAAAAGTTCCTCCATTTATGTCAACTGGTGTCGTTGTCAGGTCTTGTTTAGACAGCCATATTACTGAGATATTGTGAGTGCTGCTCTCCTGTCATATGTCCAGGTCTTCTTGATTGTTCAAGTCTTTCTGTCCACCATGATAGTCCCTGAGCTTTAGGTGTGGGATTTGTGTTGAAGATGTTTCTGGGCTGAACAACTTCTCAGGGCCTGTGCTTTCTGTGTTGTGAAATCTTCAGCACTCTAAATCCCTTAATTAGAGGGAGAAAAAAGGCAAATGATCAATGGGCTTCTCTTTTTAAAAGCCTCCATTTGTGTCCTCCATCTTACCTGGTGTCTGGGCTGCACAGTGTGGCCAAGCAGGAATTTCATCCTGTGTATAGCTGTCTGACTCAACTATGAATTGAAAATCATTTAGCTGAAATTGTGACAAAGCTAGCAATTATAGCTTGCCTGCAGGTTGGGGCTGTGGCAGTGGTCATGATGCAATCCTCCCACAGCTAGCATTAGGCTCAGGCAGACTCCCTGCTGCACCTGGCTGCTAGGGAGTTAACAGGCTGCTGGCCAGCCTGGATGGGCAACCCTGAAGGAGACAAGGAAAACCGGCCCAAGCAATGTCTCAGGAACTATTCCTAGCCATGACTAAACAGTAGTTCTGGGTTTCCCTGCAGCTCAGCAGGATTCGTGGTCAGGCAGCAGAGGTCAATGTGAAAGTCTCCAGCCAAGGCCACACAGCATGAAAGCCCTAGTGCCTGGACTTGCATCTGGGTCTTCTGAGTCCAGTGTCTATGTTTATCTACCGTACTGGGGTCTAAGGGAAGACCACATGACCAGGCATCAGTGTAGTGGACACTTGTGACAAAATTCGTGACACTCAGAGCTGTGCAGTTCTTTAAGGATAACAATTTTAATAATCTCAGCACTGACTGCTTGCGCTGGGCTGTGCCAGAGGACATGCTAATTAAGCTCTTTATGACTCCTTTAATTCTCACAACAATTCTGCTTCAGTTTTACAGACAAGGAAACGGAAGCTCTGAATGATGGGATGACCTGACAAAACCAGAGGATGGACCCGGGTCTGTATAACTTCAGGCTCTTCCCCAAGGGCAGTACCACCTGCTTGTCCTCTTCGAGTTACTTTGTCATATTATTCAAAGGAATGCCCAGCGTCCAATTTCCCCTGGCTCTCAGCCAACAGAAATGCTAGCACTAATGGATAAACTCTTACTTCTACTGTTCCACACTCCAGAGTACGCACAGTGCTTCCTCATTGGGTCACACAGCAACTTTTAAGACTCCTGCTAGGATGGATGCTGCATAACTAAGGCCTTCCCCAGAGTCACAGCTTGTGGAACAGCATGAACCACAGCCACGCTCAAACCTCCACATGGGATTCAGGACTCTTTGCCAAATACCTCTGAAACCTCTGCTCTCTTCTTGACTGTCTACCAGGAATAGGTGCCAAGCTACCTCTCCAAAAACCATCAGGACCCTAAAAAGGCCAAGCTCCCTCATCATCTAGGAAGTGACCTCAGAGACTGAGCAGACCAGATCTAGAGACATTTAAATTTGGGTCCCAATCCTACAGTTGCATAGCCTCAAGTTTATCTGTTTGCCCCCTTCATACTACAGCAACAACAATAGAACCCACGCTGGATATGTATGTGATGGTGGAAAAAAGGTAACACTCGTGAAGGCAATGGCCACAGGAACCACCACAAGGATAGATGTTGACATCTTCCTCTTAATGTTTCATTCATTCATTCATTCATTCATTCATTCATTCATTCATGTATTCAAGCAGGGGCCAGTGAGATTGCTCAGTAGATAAGAATGCTTGACACACAAGCCTGGCATCCAGAATTAGATCCCTAGAACCCACATAAAAGGCTGGACATGGCTGCACACATCAGCAATCCTAGGGAGTGGGAGACAGAGACAGGAGAATTTCTCAGAACCTTGAGGACCACCTAGCCTAGAGTAGCAGCATGGCAGAAACAAGAGAGGCCCTGCCTCAACAAAACAGAAGGAGAGAGCAGACACCCCAAAGTTGTCTTCGGATCTCCACGTATGCACGGTGGAGATACATGCATTCACGCATGCACAGAACACACATGCCAATAAAATAATGTTTTAATTTTTAGTCAAACAGGTTTGTGTTCTCACCATTGTCAACTCCCCATCTAGGTTTTGAGGAGAAAATTAATAACATACAGCCTGTACCTCCACAGAGCTCAGTCTAGGGGTGGGGACATACTAAGCAGACAGTTACAGCGCAGTGTATTTATTTATTTATTGCTAGAGACTGAAGCCAGGCCCTTTGTGCAAATGTCCTGTTACTGTGCTTTATCCCTATCCCCCTTTCCCAAGCTAGCCTATAATCCTCCTGTCTCAGCTTCTCAAAAGAACTGTGATTCCAGCTGTGCCCCCCCAAAGAGCCAGCTGTCCCTGGAGGTGACTGTGAGCCACTTGATATAGGTAATGGGAACAAAACTGGTCTTCCGGTAAAGCAGAAAAGGTTCCTAACCACTGAGCAGCCTTACCAGCCCTTAATCTCCCCTTTAAAGCTGGGGACAAAAATCATGTCAGTGACTCCTCCTACACTCCTGGAGAGAGCATGCAGCTGGAAAGTCAGTGGTCATTTCTAGTGCTTCATGAAAAAAAGACTGTGCCCCCCTAACCTGGAATCTAACTGCCATCTGATTTCAAGATCTTTGGTATAGTCCATGATGAGACACATATATTCACTTTCCACTTAAGTAATCATGTTGAATTAATCCTCCATCCTTGTGAGGTGAGAGTTTGGGTATGCTTATCCTCAAACCTAAACAAAAGCTTCCAAGCTTCAGATTGGAATGATGACCCAGGGCCTAACCAGCACTGGAACTTAGGGCTCTCAGCTTCCCCCAAATGTACCTTATTACCCTCATCCCTGGGCACATGAACTGTGGCGTGTGGAGGCAGTTAGCCCTAATAATACATGTGCACTGAGAGAAAGGATGTCGCTAAGTTCTAGACATCTCCTTGTCACAAAAGCCTTCCTGGCATGAGCTTGGGACAAGTTTCCTAAATGCTGGGGGTTCCAGGAAGTCACTTACCTTTGTAAATAAAATAAGAAATCCTAAGAACAAACCATTCGACTTTCTTTCATCTCCTTTCTTCTCCCCAAGCCCGTCTTGCATAAGCATGATGACCTTCCATTGGGTGACGGCTATGTTGTAAGTGAAACGTTTACAGGCACTACAGGAATGACCTGGTGCCTCGCCCACCTCATTAGAATTCTAATTGGGGTGTGTAGGAGAGGCTTCTATAAATGGTAAGGCAATCCTTGGCGCCTGTCTCCCCACACCATCTCTGTCATTCCCAGAGGAGCCCCAGGAAAGGCAGAAGAAGCCCAACATGAGTGGTGAGTGCGGTGTCTCTCTAGGAGGTCCTCATGGGAAACCCATACTGCCCTCTGGGTCTGGCAGAGCAGCCAGCTGGGACAGTTGTCTGTCTTGGGGACTCTGTGTTTTCAGGTTACGTTCAGGGGTGTCTGTGTCCTAGAGTACCTGCTGGGTTCCTCAGACATATTTCAGTGGTGGAACATGACTGGAATGGATCGAGCGATGGACAGGATGTTCAACACACAGCCAGGGGTCACATTTCCTTTGAGGATAAGCTTTGTCTTATTGATACTGCTTATTCATTGCTACCTAGAAAGTCATGCCAGATAGCATTCTGGGTTTCTCAGTACACTTTTCCTGGCTGTCAGTAGCAGGGACAAAGGAAAGCGGCTCTCACAGGATCAGAGAGACACACGTGGAAGCTGAGTGTTGAGAAACCATCAGCTGGACTATTCCTAAGTAAACTACAGATGCTCTAACACTGGCAGGCTCCCTGGCTTGACTGGCTGTGCGAAAGCCCAGGAGCAGATGTGGCAAGCATGCCACAAGATCCCGACTATCCCTATGAACAGCATCAGGGAAGGCAACTGAAAAGGAACAAGATGTGCAGGTTTTTTGACTCCGTGGTTACTGTCGAGGATTTGGGCTCTGCTAATTACTGCCTGTCATGGTGATCAGCCTTGGACCTTGACGGCAGCAATGCCAAACCCAAACAAGGCATGAGTCAAACCTGTAAAGTGTGGTGAATGGTGGTTAGGAGCAAGACAACCAATCCAGATGCAGAAGGTGGATATGGGTCTTGAGAAACTCTCCAGGTGAGGACTGGGCAGGGGACACTTACCCTTTCCCCATCCGTTCCCTCTCATGAATACAGACAAGGCTGAGATGCTAACAAAAGGAGCACTTGGGGCTTACAACGTCACCAGAAGGGAATGGCAGTTGTCATGTAGTGCATCTATCTTCTGCAGGAAGAGGTTGAGGCCTGGGTATGGGGAGAGCCTTAGGAAGGTCGAACAGCAAGTTGGTAGCAAAATTGGACCAAATATCCAGCACCAAGGTACCTTTCCACTAGGCTCTGTGTCTAGATCTGAGCTTAAACATAATTGCCATCAGGTGAGCCACCAGACCTTTCTCTGGAGCTAGGACGTCAGCTGCTTTCTTGCAGGGAAGAGGTGGGAATTCCTCCTGGGATCTGTACTTCTTTGTGTTCACCTACAATCTACCAAGGCCTTTTTCACATCTTTATTTCAGTTCCTTGGACCAGAGAAGTATTCATGCTTTCTGAAAAGCAGACCATCTCTCTGGGCTCCATATCTTGAGACAATGGCCTCTGGCACCTCGCTCACCATCTGCTACCTGCTCATCAGAAGCAGAGCCCACTGTGCCTTTGGGCTTCTCAAACTGTAGCTGCCATTTAGGCTTACATCCAGGAGCAGGGCTGTTGAAGCACTTGGCTTTCAGCCCTGTCCCTAGTGATCTTAGAGGGACTCTACCCTGTGAGTCTGTTTCCTCAGCTCTAAAGTGGATTATACTCACCTAGGAGTGTTCATTAGCTCAACTTAGTAGTGAGACTAAGACTTAAGACTAAGACTAAGACTTAGCCTGAGACTTTTTGCATTGAGCCAGTTTCCCCCTTGCCTTGAGATTGTAAGAAAGCTCAATGAGAGAGGGATCCATGTTGGGGGTGCCAAGGGAGAGCAGGGAAAGGAAACCGGGTATGCATACGATCGAGACATTGTTCCCATGTATAGAGTCATCATAAAGTTAAAAAAAAAAGATAGTCTGTGTTTTTAAAAGGAGAAACCAACCACCATGGGATAAAATCCATTTTCTACTCTTCTGTGTTCCCTAGCACAAGTCACTCCAGCCTCCTCCTCATCTTCCTTTCACATGTTCCCAGGTATCCTCCGGTCCGCGCACTCTGTTCACCTCTAATGGTTTTTCTATGTTGCCTCTACCCCACAGGGCTGTGGTGTGCACATGGGGCAGCTGCTCTCCTCCCCGGGGCCCACATACCAGGCTGGGGTGTGTGCCGGAAATTCTCTCTGTATCACTTGGGAGGAAAGGAAACAAAGTTGGGTCTCAGGCTGAGAGATGGCTTCCAAAGGAGACTTCATTCGCCTTGCTGAGCCTCCCTCCCTTAGGAAATGATGGTAGCTTCTGCCCTGTACCCCCCCAACCCCCATGGAGCAGCTACACAACTCAGTGTGAAAGAGCTTTCACAAGTATGAAAGGGTGCATAGGCCTGAGGTAACTATTCTCTGCCCAAGCCACACATTTAGGATCAGCAGGAACGCTGCTTTTAAATGCCAGAGATGGTCCTAATCTGGAGACCTTGGTTTGATTGGTTTGGGAAGCTCTTGAATCAAGACATCACTCTCCTGATGACTTACTTCCCTGTGTGTCAAGGCTTGAAGCCTCATCAGGAGAGATGACAAGCTCGCTCTTTAGAAAGGAAGCATGTGACACCCTTCACCTCTTACCTGTCAGCATGATGCCTGGGCATGGAGCAGGCTGTGGTTAGTGGCATCCATAACACCATGGTAGTTGTCTGAAGCTAGAAGCTTGGAGTCAGATTTTTGTCAAGGAAAATTGGATTCCAGCTTGGCCTTGGGTCTAGGTTCTGTCTGAGCTTGTGATACTGGAGAAATGAGTTCGCCCAGTTGAACTTACAACCCCCACCTGTAAATTGGTATGATGCCGTAGGCTTTTATGACTGTTAAAAGATGCAAATGTAGTGTTCCATGCCTGCCACAGAAGGGGCTACAGCCTTCCAGACCCAGTGTTGTTTTGCTGTTATATGTGAAGTGCTAAGGCACTTTAGTCCTTCTGTAATGGCAACCTTAAAAGAGACAGATGCTGAGGTCTCGCTACTCTCTTTGCACTGTTGAGACACCCACAATTCAGAGACATTGAAGTCCTTACCCAAGACCTCTACCTGTCCAGGGTTTCACCCCAGAAAGTTTGTCAGAGCCTTCCCCTGCCGACTGATCCTGACCTTGAGTGCCAGGAAGTGTTGTGGTGTGTGCTGCACCGGGCTTGGAGGTGTCTGACTGTGGAGAGAAGCTAAAAGCAATTGACACCAACTGGAAAAAGAGAAAGGAGAGTGTGTCTGGCAGTGAGTCCTGTGAGCCAGGAAGTGGCTGGCCACAGCCTGGAGCCTGGTGGAGCAGCCTGGGGAATGACTCCTGCTTCCACAGCTTGGATGGAGACCTGGCTTCCAGGGCTAGCTCTGCTTCTAAACTACTCCGTGCTTTCAGTAGATCACTTTTGCGACTTTGGGGGTAGGCTGGGGGAATCTGGTTTCCTGAAGTGCAATATGGGAATTATATTGAATTATATCACCATTTTTCAAGATGTCCATTGCAATCCATTTCAGATTGTGACATCAGTTTAGCGGACTGCAACCAACATATTTTGTAAGGTGATGTAATGGAGAAAATGTCAAGAGTATGTACATTATGGTATTCAGTTACAAATCAATGTTAGAGAACACCAAAATATGTTTCTTAGTGTGGCCTCTATCTTGAAATCCACTCAGCTAAATGATTTTTAGAATTTCTTTAAGTTGGGACTGCAGAGCTGGCTCAGTAGTTTAGAGCATTTCTTCTTGCAGAGGACCCAGGTTCAGTTCCAAACACTCACATGGCGTCCCAGCCATCCATAACTTCAGTTCCAGGGAAGCTGATGACCTCTTCTGGCCTCTGTGGTCACCAGGCATGCACGTGGTACACTGACATACATGTAAGCAAATCACTCATACACATAAAAAAATAAGTAAAGTATAAATTTGCATTAGCATTAATTAATTAACTCTGGAAATCTGTAATATAAGAATGCATCTTTGCCTAAAGGAGGCATGATAAGGAGTCCAGACAAGTGTGTGCAGGAGACCAGCTCCCCAAGTGTTAAGTCTGCCATGTTGGTGTCTCGCCAGCTCCTTTCTCAGCCCAACACTTAGCAAGCAGGGCATCCTTAGATGTCTGCTGCCAGCAATTTCTTTATAAAGCTGGCCTGATAAGGGCCCGTTTAGCTGATGGTAATCTCCTGTCACAGTCTGGCATCTTCTTATGCTTATCTGCCAAACGTGAGCCCCAGAAGTGATAGGCAAGAGCTAGTATACTCACAGGGTCATAGGGTTAGGGTTACTTGGAAATGATAGTGAACCCCCAAAAGGCAAGAACAAAAAATAAGCAACCCAGATGCTCATTCTCCCTTTACACAGGAGATCTGAATGTAGGTAGATCAGGGCAGGGATGGGAACTACGTAGTTCTCAGAGCACAGGCTCTGACCTCCCTCGCAGCTTTCTCTCCCTCACGTATGGCCCTGCGTAATCTGAGGTGGGTGTTGCAAGCCCCATCCACATCACTTTACACCCCAGACATCAGGATAGAAGAAAGGGGAGGAAAATAGGCCAAGCACATTTGCCAACTGCTGTCAAAAAGGTCTCCTGGCTGGGTTTGATTGTCATGATGAGGTGATGTCATCTAAATGCTGGGAGGCTGAGGCAGGAGGATCAAAAGTTCGGGCAAGCTTAGACATGTTCAAAGTACATGGAGATAGAATAAGATCATACATTCAAGGCACTCCTGGGCTACACAGTGAGACTATCTCAGAACCAAAGATCTTCTTCAAAAGAATTGAATACAGAACCACAAAGAAATACTTGCTTCATAAAAGCCCTTTACACAACAGCCAAAATATAGAAACAACCCATGTCCATCAGCTGAGTAAAAGATAAACAAAATGTAGGGTGTTTTCGTGTGGTGGAATATGGCTTGGCCATACAAGAATAAGCTGTGCATGCATTCTACAGCATGATTTAGCCTTGGAAACATTGTAATAGCGAAACAAGGTGGACCTCAAGAACCACGTACTGTGTGGTTCCATTTATGTCAGATCATCCAGAACAGACAAAAGCCAAGAGACGGGAAACAGACTAGAGGTCAGAAGACACAGGAGGAGTGATCATCATGGGAGTCAGGCCTCTTTTGGAAACTAGACAGAGTTCACACAACA